TGTGCCCTCTAAAAGCTTGCGTTCTGCAAGTGAACGTCGCTTTATTGTGCCATCCCAAAGAAGCACAAAATCACTTTCACGGACTTTTAAATTAAATGTTCCCTCCTGGTGGAATGACCTGCCCAACTCAGTCCGAGCAGCTGTCCTTAGCCATCTTCAAGAACCGGCTAAAAACACACCTCTTCCATCTTTATTTGACCCTCTAACTCTAGCATTCCCTACTCTAATTCTATTCTTAAAAAAGAAAAAAGAAAAACTTGCCCCTTTTAGACTTGCACTCTATTCATTTACTAACTGCTTGTTTTCTTTAAAAAAAAAACTACCACTAGCTTCTCTATTCTTGTTGTATTCTATTTCTTTTTTATTTATTATACAATTAACAAAAGCAAAAAAGGCCTCTAACACTAGCTTGCTCGATTCTTTTTCTATTCTATCGGTTTTCTTTTTATTTATTATATTAATAAAAAATAAAAAAAACTTGCTACGTGTACTGCGTTAAGCTGAGACTTGTTCTAGCACTTGTGTATCATTGCTCTTTTGTTGATTTTGATTGCTTCCATTGTCCTCATTTGTAAGTCGCTTTGGATAAAAGCGTCTGCTAAATGACTAAATGTAATGTAAATGTATATATATATTTCATAATATATCATAATATAACTAATCTGTTGATCATTCCTATGTATAATCATAATATCTTTACATTTTCTTTTCAAACCAGGAAACATGACGACTCCAACACTCATTTTTTAATTCAGTCATAGCTTTATTTTACCTCTAGGTGGCAACAAGGCCCAAATATACAACGCTGTCCCTCTTAGTCCTAGGGAGAAGCGTGGGAGTCCGCAAAGCAAACCCAGAGTTTTTGAATCTAGTCTCAACTCAAGTTCTACTGTGCAAACGAGTCTCAACTTCTATGATTCTAGAGCCAGAACCCAAGCCGAGGGGGATCTAGGTTTGTGTGGAGCTTGGGCTTGTCAATGAAACACAGACATTAGATACAGTGTAAGAGTGTCTCTTTTCCTCCAGAGACGTTTAAAGCTCATAGCGGAGGTCAGAATCGCCCTCTCAGCGTCCAGTCATTGGCTCACTATGTTCTCCAAGAGATCCAGTCGTGATGAGTCTGGTCCGGTCTAGCTCATCCGTTAAATAAATCCAGAGCCCTCCTCATGGCGCCCATGGTCTACCGTGCAGCTTAAATGTGAGGGTCAGTGAGTAGTGAAGGGGCCCATGAGACTCCATTAGTGTACAAGTCTGTGCTGGTGTGTTTTTCCAGGGCGTCACGTGCGTCGTCGTGTCCTCTAGCAGGGGCTAATGCGGTCGTGCCTGGCCCAACATCTTCAGCCTGGCCTGGTCAATCACATCCAGCAGGTTCTTGGCATCTACTGCGAGTGCGTGTGCAGCTGTTAGCATCTGTTTCTTATAGTCCTGCTGCAGGCTGGTCATGACGTACTGCTGGGCCAACTTCATCTTATTGATCAGCTCAGCCAGGTCTGAATTTAGAAGCTTTTGAGCCATTTCGATCTGAAGAGGAAGAACAAGAGTAACAGTTAGCCGAGCTGGCAGGAAGGATGTTGGGAATGAGAGTATTTAGTGTTAGTCTGTGAATGCGTTTACCTCTCTGTGTGTGTGAGCCGGTAGTAAAGGTATCGTCTCATCCACAGTGGCCAGCAGTGTTCTCAGTGCTAATCCCACTTCCTGAAACAAACATTTTCATGATGAGAATGTCGAAATTATAACAATGATATGATGGAAAGCAAGCTTACAGTACTGTCATTATGTACTCTTTATTTACCCACAAGCTTAATGCAATTACAGTTTATGGTGACCACAGGATGCCGAGCTCCAAAAAGGACAAAATAAAACCATAAAACTAACATAAAAGTGGTCCATATGAAGTCTTTTAAAGTCATATGTCAGCTTTGAGATAACAAAAGGCTGAAAATTAAGTTATTCACTTATAATCTTAACCTCCACTGGGGCTCTCAAATCAAACATTTGGTTTTTGTGATGTTTAGCTGTAAGTGTTATACTATTTATTTAATATTATAGCATTTATTAATATTTTGAATAAACTTTTATTTTTATATTTGGAGTTTTTATTTTTATTTTTACGTTTTAGTAATTTTGCTATGTGCTTAATTATTAGTATTTTTAAATTTAATTAATGAATCTATTTACTTACATACATACACGCATATTTCTATTTAGCTTTTTCTTTCTTTTTTTTTTTAAAGGGATGCCGGCTCCTGTCTGTCGTTGTACTCTCCTGAACATACGGCGAAGACTGACACGGAAGAGAATAAATTGTTGAATAAAGTGTTTATTTTTGTTTTCTTTGTGCAAAAAAGTACTCTCATAGCTTCATAAAATTAGGGTTGAACCACTGGTGTCACATGGACTATTTTAACGATGTCCTTGCTACCTTTCTGGGCTTTGAACGTGTCAGTTGCGTTGCGGTCTATGCAGGGTCAGAAAGCTCTCAGATTTCATCAAAAATATAAAAAGGAAGCAATTTTATGTATAGAGGGTATATGTATTTTAGTCTAAAGCAAGTTAAAAAGTTCTTAATGATGGATTTGTTTATTACAAACAAAGCTTTTTGCTTCACAAGACATGAATTGATGTACTGGTGTCGTGTGGATTACTTGTGGATTATAGTAGGGCTGCACGATAAATCGCATGCGATATTTAACGCGCATCTTGTCAGTAAAGCCGTTCTGTAATCAGCGGTAAATCTCCATCACCTGCGTGCTTTCACACTGAGCAGCATAAACTACACAGAGCCGTTGTTCTCTGACGAGCTGCGCAAAACCACGTTCATATTCGTGCGATTTTTGGCGCAGCTCGTCAGAGAACAACGGCTCTGTGTAGTTAATGCTGCTCAATGTGAAAGCACGCACGTGATGGAGATTTACCGCTGATTACAGAACCGGCTTTCTGACAAGATGCGCGTTAAATATCGCATGCGATTTATCGTGCAGCCCTAGATTATAGTGATGTTTTTATCAGCTTTTTGGACTCTCATTCTGACGGCACCCATTCACTACAGAAGATCCATTGGTGAGCAAGTGATGTAATGCTAAATTTCTCCAAATATGTTCAGATGAAGAAACTAATTTATTGTGGGTGTTCCAGGGAAATGATACCAGTATACAGGTTTAAAAAAAAATTGAGGGTAAGTAATAATGACACAATGTTCATGTTTGGGTGAATTATCCCTTTAAGATCATCTCTCTGGTGAACAAAAGGCATGTTCAGCAACCTGCAGAATGGATATATATTTCTCAGGTTGTGTCATACCTTCACCATGGGCACGTATTCTTCAGGGGGAGCTGGCTGGATTTTACTGGACATCTCAATCACAGCCTTTACCAGCCCGGTAACATTTTCATAGACCTTGTCGTTGGAGCGATCTAAGTTAGCTGTTGGGGGCGGGTTGATCTCCTGAGGCTGAATCTAAAGACAAACACAAAGTAACAAACTTTAAAATACTGCATTACTGAAGATTATTCAATTCCAAGTATGAGCATATAATCAATATGGGGTGCTGTGTGTACATTGAGGAAAAAAAATTAACTTAAATGATTTTAGCAAATGGCTGCAATATAACAAAGAGTGAAAAATTTAAGGGGGTCTGAATACTTTCCGTACCCACTGTATATAAACAAGGGATATAGGATGAAGGTTGTGTTACTGAATCCATGTTACAGGACATAAGTGCTAATGAAATGAAGAGGTCTGTGTTATGGTACAAATTTCATGTTTGACACTAGATGACAGCACAAGCAACTACTGGAGACCCATCACCGCCTACAATACCCAGCTGATTAGAAATCCATCTGTGCACCCTTGATTTTAATATAAAACATGCTATGATGACAAAAAGATGTAGTTCCCCCATGTTAAATATAAAAAGAGATCAAGGAAATATTTCAGTGTAGATTTTAAACACAATATACTGTACTGCGTCCATCCAACCAGAATGATCCAAAGCCTCCACTGGATTTCGCTACAGGCACATTAGCTAAAATCACAGCTGATATAAAAAGCAAAAGACAAGGAGAGTGACAAGATCTATACAGCCCATGTAATTCAGTTTAGTAGATAATTAAGTTATGATTCTAAATGATAAGGTTGAGTAATGACATAGTAACTGGTTAAAAAAAAGGGGCACAAACACAGACAGAAACATAACACTGAGTCTACAGGTGGTCTTACCCTCCAGGGCTACCAGTGCAAAAACAGTGCAACAGAGGAAGGGCAGAGGCACAGAGCAAGAGAACAGTGTGCAGAGAGAGAGAGAGAAAAAGAAAGAGATTAATAAATATAACTTTACATATACATGCTGCAAAGAAAGAAAGAGAAAACAAAAAAAGTCAATATATTTTTGAATCCAACCCCATGAAAATGTCGCCAGAGTTTAGTTCTGTGAAATTATGTAACTAAATTTACATGTAAAGACCTGATGAAATCAAAATTACAGTTTTGTGCCTTAGTTTTGTACTCCTAAATGTTATCTGAAGCAAACTTCTTTCTCTTTGGTTAAAAATACTGAAAATCATCTTCTACTGCAGATTTTTTGTCCAATCAAATGGTTTCCACAATGAGAACGTCCCGGACTAGCAATAGCAAGCCATCAAGACTGTGACACAATTTACATTTTTATTTTACATTTTTTTAAATTCCCCAACCAAACAGAAAATACAACCCAAAATCAGCACTAGAAAGAAAACTGCACTCGTCGAGCATTATTATGGGACCTTAAATGTTTTCTACTGACCAAACACGCCTACAGGTAAAACTCCTAAAAACTATAAAGTTGCAAAGCAGACCACAATTACATGTGCATTGTTCCTAATTATATTTTCCATTCTGTACTGCATTTCTGCTGTTGCTTGCGAGACCCCCTGCATGCTGACCCACAGCATCAGGAAAATGCGCTGGAATGGAAACTGCCGGCTTCTTGGTGTGCAGGGATCTTTTTATGAGAGACCCTGCAGAGCAATTGTGTGCTTGTGTATGTGAAAGGGGTTTCAGGAATGAGGATGGTTTTAATGAGGCTTGGCAAACAGCATCTGTTGGCATGCTAGTTGCTCCTGAAGGCAACCCATAAGTACAGATGCTAATCTTACCAGCCTCGCTATGTGTGTGTGTTTGGTGCTATTTCAAACTTTGTGTGGTTTAAAAACAGCAGCAGTGATTATTGTAAAGTCACACATGCACAATATTCATCTGAAGCTGTAAAAGAGTTTGTTTGCCGTGCGGTGGTTCTGGTACCTTCACGCCTTCATTGTAGCTGTCTGTAGGGTTGAGGCCGGAGACTCCTGCTGGGTGGCTGGGAGCTCCGGGTCGAGGAGGCTTTTTAGGAGGAGCTGCGTGTTCTGAGGACGACAGGAACGAGTCAGTCTGTAACTCAATCTGCATTTTAATGTAAGTTACACATTGCAAGCAAAAAATAACCTCAAGCCACTGTTTTCAACAGTGATATAGAGAAAAATTTCTTGATCACCAAATTAGCATATTAGAATGATTTTTGAAGGATCATGTGGCACTGAAGACTGCTGAAAATTCAGCTTTGCCATAACAGGAATAAATTACATTATATAATATATTAAAATAGAAAACAGTCATTTTAAATTGTAATAATATTTAATTATTGTAATAATATTTCAAAATATTACTGTTTCTACTGTATTCTTGATCAAATAAATGCAGCCTTGGTGACCATTAAAGACTTCTTTCAAAAACATAAAAAAAAAATCGTACTTCATAACTTGAAATTACATATTACATTAAACAGACCTGGCATAACTCACCTGCTTTCCCTATAGGTTGGTAGATGTGTTGATTTCCAGTCTGCAAACAAAAAAAATAAAAATATGCAGGAGTCAAGACAGACTGTGCCATGTGTGTTGTTGTGGTCTGGGCGGGGAGCAGCCTGGATGCCTGGCATGCCAACACACACACACACACACACACACACACACACACACACATCTGCCAAGACCACAGTGAATCAAAGAGGACAGCCCAACAGGATAGACATTCAAAACCACTGCAGCAGACAAACAAGCTCTACAGAGCAGCTGTGGAGTTCTGTGGAGTTCCAGATCATGACAAGCATGAAATGCATTCAAAAACTAGCAAACATCTGTAGTTGTTCTATGTTAACATTAGAAGTGGGAAGGCAGCGCAGATTGGGTTTCTTGAGTGTCCACTGCTGTTTGGCTCCTCACAAAAGGGCCATTGTCCTTGGTTCTCATTTATCCTGCTGATTTTGGATAGATGTCCAGCTATGATAGACATTTCAGTACCTTAAAGCTTATAAAAACACACTATGGCAAACTAAATGCACATGAACTTAGTTCACTAAAGAGATGACATGCTGAGATCTATCAGTGGAGTCCAAAAGTCTGAGATCACTAATAAAAATGATTCTATTTTGCATTTCAAATGATCATATTATCACTTTAAAACTTTCAGAATGTCTCAGTATTTGGTTTGTGCCTTTTTTGCTTTAATGACAGCAATTCTTGAGCTGCATGAACTCCACAAGTTTGTCAAACCTGACGATCATGCTTTGAGAATGAGTCAAAGAGCATCTTGTGCTTCAATGAAAGCAATATCTGACCGTCTGTACATAGAGTCACATGATCAATGTTACAAATGTTACTTTTTTGGTCAGTGACTTACAGTAGGAACAGTAATTTACATCATAATCAGTGTGCTCTGATTTTTAGAACTCCATTGTAACTATACAAGAGCACACACAATCTCACAGTTGTACAACATAGAGTTCTATAATCTTTTAGTCTTTCACCAAAAACTATTTAAGTGGAATTCCTGTGCATGTACAGAATTCCCCCACAGCGAGTGTGAGGTGACGCCCATATACAATATAATTTACTGCAGATGTCCATGAGCGGGGAACACCACTATATTTAACATGACCTGATCAGATGATTAACTCACACACACACACACACACACTTGCTTGAGAGACAGTCACTATGAATAGTTGTTGTATAGAAAGAGTTGTGTAAAAATCCTTCCTTTTCTCTCTTTTTTTTAAATTCAGACATGAAAAAAGTCTAATGAGTCTGGAACAATGTGAGGATGAGTAAATAATTACAGAATGGACCCTTTTCACAAGACTGTGATGACGCGTTTAACAGTCATCAGCATCGTAAATCCTCGAAAGTTTTTCATATTTGTATTTTTTTTTTTATTTATCTACATTTATAACACTATTCTTTGTATTATATCACCTTTGCAACAAATTACAAAAAAACATTTAACGCTAATGCGAGGGTGTTTCTAATGCAGCGTCTATGGGAGGGACGGTAAATTTGACATCGTTCTCTCTTCTGACAGCCGTTATCAGTCTCTCTCAATTTTTTTCCTTTTATTGAAAGTCATGAAAACACTATCATGGAGTTTTTCTTTTGCTATTTGAGCAAATGGAAATGCAAAAAATATATTTGTGGTGCTCTCCCATTCACTGCTTTTCAAGTTTACCCAACTATGACGACTTCCGCTGCTGAGAAACCCGGAAATGTGAAAAAGGTCCATTGTAATTTTTGGGTGAATTATTCCTTTAATCTTAAAACACTTATGTTTTTTAAGATTTACACAACCATTTCAAAGTTGGGAGCCAAATTTAAAAAAAATGTTTTTAAAAGAAGAAGTCTCTAATTCTTACCAAGGCTACTTTATTTGATCAAAAATACAGTAAAAACTGTAATATTGTGAAATATTACCACAATTTAAAAACGGTTTTAATATATTTTAGAATGTAATTTATTCATGTGATGGCAAAGCTGAATTTTCAGCAGCCTTTACTCCAGTCTTCAGTGTCACATGATCCTTGAGAAATCATTTTAATATGCTGGTTTGGTGCTCAACAAACATTTATTATTTTGATCAGTGTTGAAAACAGTTAATATTGTTTTGCAAATTGTTATACATTTCTAGATTCTTTAATAAAAAGTTTTAAAAGAACAGCTTTTGTTTTGTAACAATGTAATTGTTTACTGTTACTTTTGATCAATTTAATCATTGCTGAATAAAATTATTAATTTCTTCTAAAAAAAAAAAATCTTACTGAACCCAAACTTTCAAATGGTAGTGTATTTCAACAAAAAGAAAGAAAATGAAGAGAAACTCACTGGTCCCTGAAGGTTTCCATCATCACGGTCAATGCTGCCTCTGGAACTTCTCCCATCAGGCTTCTGCCACACAAACACACACACACACACACACACACACACACACACACACACACACAGAGAGAGAGGAAAAAAGAAGGTCAAATCTGACACCTCATGTCTGTTGTATCTATTGTGCTAATTCGCACCCCATCCTGACCTGGAGCGACCCTACAAGATTACAGCTAAAAGCAATTTGCATTTCGACAATGAAAATGATAATGCTGCAGGACACAGTGGCAGCCAATCAGAACACATTTGATGTTTAAATGCCACAAAAATTAAGAAAAGTGGTTAACAGTTTCTCACACGGTCAATCATTTCATTCTCACATGGTCAGGCATATTTATTGCTCACAAAACTTTACACACTTACTAATGTCTGTTCCTACTCCTTAAAACGACAACGATAAACCAGACATAAATCAACTGAATATAAACCATGGAATATAAGTCCATGACAGTTCAAGATGCCACAAAGATGTACTAAAACAGTGTATAATCTACACACATTAAAATGGCACCCTCCCCTTCCCATTCTTCCTAGTTTACTGTACCAGTTTTCCGAAGCAGGATTTGAAGACCTGCATCTTCCCGTCTCTTCCTGTGAGCGTTTCTCTCTGGCGTTTTTTCAGCATGGAGCAGAGCATGGAGTGGATCTCCATTAAGCAAGCTTGTGTGTGTGTGGAGTGACTTGTCTCTTGAATGTGAGACATATTAAACACACACTGACTCACTCAAAGCCGACGAGCCTCAACTCAGCGAAGCCAAGCCCTGTTCTGCTCTCCTCCTCCTCTCTCTCATTCCCTAGCTCAGTGTTTTCTCTCTTTCCCTCTCTTCCCCTCCCATTATCCCTCATGCACATTTGCGTATAACATCTGCGAAGAGATGAAAACTTCCTCTGATCAGTAATTTAACTTTCAGCAGATACAGGTCAGGCTGAGTTTATCCGTCTCACGCCTCAGTGCCAACAAAACCCTTCATTACTGAGGAATTCCTGAAAACTGCACCTGTATCAAACGGCCAGGATCAAAAACTCATTCATCCACTCACAGCATCAAAAACACTTTAATAGGCATGCAAAAACTTTTAATCCGTACTGAACTTTTTGACAAAGGTCACACCTTGGATGTTTGAGGTCATTTTTGACCAGGAAAAATAAAAGTATAGCTTTAGGTAATGAAAAAACATGAAACATTTACTGAAATGTTGCACCACTAACTTCCTAGAAGTAGTAACAATAAAATCATGCACTTTTTTGAGGATTTTAGATCTTACGTGGATCTTATTTATGTGTAAAAAACAAAATTAAATCTGTCGAAAATGACAGAAAAGCTTATAAGAGTTTTAAAGTCTTAATTTGATTTGCTCAATTTGAACTTTAAACAATCTTTTTTTCCATACAATTGCTGTCAATCTCCGGAAAAAAAAAATTGCTCGTACAAATCATGCACTATACTTTAATATTCACTGAGTTCTGAATCAGTCAGATTCATGAACAAAGCATTCTTTTGAGCCAGTTCTTTTTAATACACTGATTCACTAATTGGACTGAGTGATTTGTTTGCAAATCAAAATTGTTTGGTTCTTAAGCTTAAATGTACAGACTCAGTGATTCAGTCAGTGGAGGGGAAAATTATTAATGAATAAATATAATATTTAGGTCTGTTAATCACACAATTGCATTGGAGTGAATTTAATAAAAGTCTACTTTTATGGCATTTGTTGTCACTTTTGTAGCTTGCAACACTGTAAACAGTCACTGTATGGAAAAGAGCAGCATGATTCTTCCAAATACCCTCTTTTGTGCTCCACTGACTAAAAACTGTTTACATGTTTAAAAAAACATCAGGATGAGCGAATCATTTTTGGATGAACTATTCCTATAAGAGCTGACATTTCGTTTCAACAGAAGTTGTTTGTGAGGAAAAGGAAAGGTTTAAGCAGAAGAATGAATGTTGTTTGCTGTGGTAGAGCTCTGAATGCCCTTTTTAGTTGGTACAGGAAGCTGTGTGAGTTTTTTCTGTGAGACAGACTGAATATAATGACACAGTGAAGATGCAAATGATGGGAGACTGTAAGCCAAAACATGGCATACCACAAACGCACACAAATATTCTCAGACACACTTATGTGCATAATAACATTCATATGCACACATATCACTGCAATAATAACACAGTCTCTCACAGAAGTGCAATGCCTTCTAATTCATATTCTTTCTGTAATTATTCAACAATGCAAATTATTTGCAATAAACATCCCAATGCCAAAGCTGATGTTGTGAAATTGTGAGGATCACTCACAACTGTTTACAAAAAAAAAAAAAATGGAGCAGGAAACCACAATTGGTGGAAACACTTATTCTCAAACAAACATGAAAATGACTGTTTGGAATATCATATTGCTGTGGCTATAAATAAACATCAGCATGATTCTCCACTAAAATGTTTTTAGGAAGAATTTAGAAACTAACATGACCACATAATACAGCTAAGCAGGGGGAAACAAAGATGAGCAGATGAATGTGAGGAAGAGATGGAAGAGGTGAAGGTGAGTGGGATCAGTACCAGTAGTCTCTCCTCCTGCTCCAACCAGCGCTGATCATCCTCCATCTGCTGCTGCTGCAGTAATAACTGCTCCTCCATCAGCTGAGACAGACCACCGCGCACAGCCACACCATCCTGAAACAAATACAATTTATAAACATATGCTAATATACATAATAAAAATGATAATACACTCCAGTCTTGTTACTGTAGATTGTGTTTAAGAACCACATCTGCTTGGTTTGAAAGTGACTTCTGTGTGAGTGGTGCTTCATGCATTGCTACACTATTGACAAATTACTTTTTTGACCTTTTTTTCTGAAAAACAGTGGGTAGTTTAACTGCTCGGGACAAACAAGGGACTCGTGAACAACTCATGTATCTCAAAAAATAATAATAAAATCATCCAGGTAATGACAAAGACTATAGAATACCCAAGACATGTCACTCGTTTAGTTTTGAATGGGGAAAAATGCAACGCTCAATATGACCGCTCAATCGCAGGAAGCCCCGCCTTCTGAATGAAAGTGCCAATCGCTAATCGGTAAAGTCAGCGTGTCACTGCAGCTGCCGTTAGAAGTCCCGGTTGCTATAGAAACAGTCAGCGTTTTGAGACATGCACTCAAAACTGTGCATGCGCACTGGCTGATCTAGCCTGAATAATAAGCTTTTTATAACGCTATTTGAGCAAAATAAACAACATTTATGACACAGTTGATATCAGATTTCTTTGGTGATTTCAAATATGAAATTTAATTGCAAGCTTTTGTGAACAGTTTGGTAGAATTTGATGTTTCCCCATTCAAAGAGATAGGTGTTGCACTTGCATGCCCGAGAGGCGTTTCAAAGATGGCCGCCGAGTGACATGACTTGTCTTAAAGGGACTTTGGTAATGACAACAGGTAATGTTTAATGGAAAGTGTTTGACAAAGACATAAAAGCTTATAATTGTTTGTGTGTTGTTATCATAAGCACACTGTGTTTGTCTATACTTGTGAATCTGATGAAGATCAGATGATATTTTGTCAATTTAATGCCAACCAATTCACATACATTTCTTGCCTCTGTAATTATAAATAAACTTAAATGGAATCTAAAATAAGTTCATTAACATTTTTTTAGTCTGTTACTGATTCCAAATTACATTACAAAAATTGTAGTTAGTAACGTAATCCATTACATTACACATTTAAGGTAATAAAATCAGACTACTTGCTGATTACTTTTAGATTACTTTTGACCCAACTCATTTATCACATTGATTTAAGTAGGATAATTACAAAGAGTAAGAAAATGTATTCCATTCATTGTTATTAACAACATGAAGTGCATTAAACATTACATTTCATCAAGGTTTCCCAACCTGGGTTTTGTAAGTTTTATGAAAAGCTAATAATTAATTTCATCATAAAAAATTAATCATCTTAAAATAACATAAATCAAAATAAAACACTAACTAAAAAATTTAATATTTTATTTGTTTACCTGCATGTCATGTGACCATTAACCAATGTCATAGAACCGTGAACATGCAAATGTGATAATTATTAAAATTAATATTTTAAAATCTCAGGGGGTGCTTCAAGTAAATATATTATGTGAAAGAGCTTCATATGACCAAAAAGTTTGGGAATGCCTGCATTGCAAGTAAATAAGAAATAACGTGAATTTGCGCATTTTAGGGGTGACCCCGAATAGTTGAAGATTCGATGCTTTAATGGAGGAGCCTGATTCGACTACTAATCTCACAGTTGAATATTCGCGGGGTGTTATGATCATGCCATTTTGGCTATATGGGGGTGCTGAAATGTCTGATTTCACATAGAACTACTCTCCCAATAAGTTAATATACAGCTTATTAAAATAATGCTGTAAATAAGAATCTGAAAAGAAAGAAGCTTCAAATAAATATTTTAACGTGCGTGAATAAATCCAACCACCCCTATAGATTTAAGTTTCACTTTCCATAACCCGTGACCGACAGAGGAGCATCTTGGCGGCACGGATTTAAATCTTTAACAAGACTCAAATTGACACAGGCAGAGTGAAAGACTGGATTTTTTCGATCAGGTAGGGTACAAGTGATTTCAAAACATTTCAGCCAGTTTATATATATCGCGTATATATTATTTATCTCGTATAAGATGCATTTGGTTGAGTTGCGCTGCAGTAAAGCGCTTCATTGTAGTACTATGGTGATTATCTCTTCAGCGCGCAGTGCGAGCAGGGCAAACAAAAATGCAGAATATTAATAACTATGACTGGGACTGTCATATACATAACAATTATAATGAGAACACTATTATAATAAAACGCTGTGAATTTTTAGAGTTTAGTTGCTGTGTTTCTGCACGTTGTTGCGTGAAGAACGCGTCCACAAAAGGAGTTCATTCAGAGCTGCGCAGACACGTTCATGTGCATTCGGGGCATTTTGTGCAGATAGCCTGTAAGTCGTAATATTAACGTTATGTTGTATAAATAACGAAGCGTATTCTATATGAGATAAATGATGAGTTAAATCCCATTGATTAAAAACCTGCTGCTTCATTCTACTGATCATCTTCAACGCGCACAGCTCAAAACAGAAATGCAGAACATTAATAACTACAGTCATATACATAACGTTACAATGAGAGCACTATTGTAAAAAATGTTGTGAATTCTTAGGGGTTCGCAGACGTTTAATGTAAACTATCTTTTAATCAAAACATAAAACATTATTTACCACGTTTGTATCTTTGAGGCATCCGTTACACATTTTCCCTGTGTGTTAACGTAATTGTGACTGTCTAATGTCTGAATTGACTCTTGGTAATGTATTTTGCCCCACCCCCAAAACATATGATTCGCCTATCAGTCGAATATCGGCAAGATTCGAAAATTCCGATTTGACTATGAAAATCCTTAGTCGGGGACACCCCTAGTGCATTTTAATGTGTTTGAAAGACTAAAGCCTTCATGGTTTTTTAAATACATGGTTAAATAGTCTACTGAGTGATAATTCAAATAAAAAGTAACGCGTTTATTAATACTTGATGCAATGTTAAAACACTTCTTAAACCTGAAACGAATTTTATATATTCAGTGGTCAAATGCTATGTAGCTACCTGACTAGTGACTGGTCTTTGTGTGAATGTGCACAAAACTGGACTTTCTGAGTGTATATAAGTGGCAGGTTAGTTTAGAACGAAACATTTAAAATATGAAAAAGAGGAATTAGGGAGAATCAATAAATTATAAATAATTTGTTGCTATTGTGTGAATTCTATGAACCACGTAATCAATACAAAAGTAATTGTGGTCTGATTACTTTAAAATGTCATTTAATCTAATTAATCAGTTACTACCCAGCTCTGCTTATTCATGAAGGACACACTTGGTGCAGCTTTAGACTTTGGCCAAAATTAGCTACCTTAAAAGGCCTCAAACATTTGTTATTAATGTTTAAAACAGTCTTCACATTTGGGGCATCTCTGAGATGCCTAAAAATGCTGTTTATGTTGGCAGCTCATTCGGTTGTGAAATGGAGCTTAGATTTCATCATTCAGAAAACCTCCAGATTTCTAACCTCCATGCTGGGATTCCACATGTGATCCTGAGCAGCCCTGCGATGATTCCAGCTGTCGTGGGGATCAAGCCCAGTCCCTGCGGCCTGGGGAGGGTACATCCCACCTGGCACGGGAAGCAAGCCGTGTGGGCCAGAGTGCCCTGCCATCTACATCATGCCGAAAACACATATAAAGCAAACTTATAATCTTTATAAACCACCTGCAATCCAACTAGTTGTCTGCTGCATCCTTAGTGAATTTACCCATCTGTATTAGACTAATGCAAGCACTGTACCTGGTAATGATTGTGCTGGCCCATGTGCTGAGGACTAGGGTAGAACCCTTCACTGGAACGGGGACTTGGATAGCCAGGTCGACTGGGCTGTAATCATACACACATGACTATGTCAATATACTAGCACATTTTGACCAATCGGGTTAATGTGAGGAGATGCTGTTAAAATCAGTCCACCAGACTGCAAATTCTTGTGCATTTTGTGTGGATGAAGATTTCAGGCTGTTGAAGGGAAGAAATTAAAACAGTCGAACATAAAATGCAAGCAGTTAGTTAATGTTACCACAATGCACATGTTATTTCGGAAATGTTATTATAGTTTTACAGTACATGGGCGGGTATTTTAGATTAGAGGGAGGGGGTTGAAAAATGAATGCTGATATATAGGAGGCGGTCTTCATCCGATTGGTTGGGATACTCTGTGCTCAGCTGTGGGTGGGAAAACAGCAGACGGACTGATCTACCTTATAAACACGTTCATAGAGAGAGTCGACTGACCACAGCTCCAGATGAGCAAAGGAGGAAAAAGAAGGAGAAAAGTAGGTGACAACATACAGCAACATACACTAAATGGACAGATAAGGGTTAATACAGGGGGGAAAACCCACATGAGCACTGGCATGAAAGTGATGGGAATTATTGTCACTATTCTGAAAAATCAAAACAAAAATATGTTTATCACCAATCTGCTTCAAGAACCAATTTTCTTTTGTTAAGAACGATGTTTTGGCAATGCGGATGTGGTTGAGAGCCTTTCTACAACTGTTTTGTCTGTGTTTCCGAAAATAAAGCATTCTTTGATATTAAATTTGAGATTCACAAAACCACACACGTCTATGGCAGGTTAATGCTTAATTTTAATACAGGTCTGGTACACAGTTTAGTTTACATGCACTGAAGAGGCAACATGCAGTTTTCCCATAGAGTTTTATCTGGAAGACTGTCTGAAGCTACTGTAGCAGTTTTCAGCTTGGTTTTAGCCTAAATCATCTTTGATCATGACTGAAATATTCTAAAATGGCTCTTAAATAAGAACTACAAAGGCATCACAGTAATTGAGAGTCACAGAAAAGAGCAGTTGAGTCACTAAAATGACTTTACTGTATTAAAGTTTGATATAGGTCAGACTAAAGCAATAATTGTGTAAGTAAATGCTTTTTACGTGTTTTTTGCAAAGTTCGACTAACAGACCTACAGTAGATAATGTGATTGTAGTTCAGCTATGTCCAACATGTACTATATATCCATTAATCTAACTCTACACTTCCTCCAGGGGTGACACGCCATGGGAATTTAATCCATATATTTCCAATAGAGTGCAAAAGTCAGGTTCTGGAAGTAAAAATCACATTCATTTTCTCTGTAGGGGAACTGATTTTTAACAAAAACCTATAAACCTCTGAAGACAGACCTATGAGCTACAAGGTTGTTAATTGATGGAATATACTTTTGTTTAAGGTATACATTATTTAAACCTATTTTTCAAATAATTGTTTAAAAAAAGAAAGCTGTTGAAAAACTTCATTACCCATGATTTTGCAAAGAGTACCGCCCACACCAATGAAACACATTGAATGATGTAGTCAGTTTCTCTATGCTCTGAAACTACTTAAATATTTGTAACTATACAACTATACAAAATATACTGTTTCTGAATACATAATCAACATCTTTAAATCAATAGTTTTATAGTTCTCCATAATTTGTTTTATTTGATTGTCATTCGCAATGCCTCATGGGATTGTACAAGAGTTCTTTCCCTCATAAAAGCCATTAAGGACAGTATTGTACAACTGTCGAATACTTTTTTTGGTAACATAACGATTCACCTCAAAGCAAAGTCTTTGTTTAAAATCCCTATGAGAAAAATCAATGGAAAAATTACTTTCAGAACTAAGCTGATGAAAAAGTGGGTGGGCACTGTTGCACTCTATTACACACTGTGTATACTTAGTCTGTTAATCTTGATAATATACAGTCAACATAACTCTAATACACTAAGCCTTTCTCATCTATACTGTTCTTTTAACTCTATAATATTTAATCTGCAGCTAAAAATGACACGCACCAATAAAATCACCTGTGCAAATGAAGAGACTACAGTAAAACTCTTGAGATGCCCCGCTAACAGTCCTAGCACACCTGCCTGTGAGAATCTGTAGGGCACGTGGGTCAGGCTCAGCTGTTGCATGGAGGGATAGTAGGGGTCGAAGAAAGCAGGCTGGGTGGCACTGGGGGGGACAGAGGGAGTCCTTCTGGGCCCCTGAGGGAACAGCAGGGAGCAGTGCAGCGGTAACGGCTGAAGCAGAAGCGAGGTCTGAGTTTGCGGGAACGTATGCTGGGAATGTACGCTAAGCTGTTGTGTATTAGCATGAGTGTTTTGGTGTAGCATTTGCTGCATGTGTGGTGATCGGTTAGTGGTGGTTTTATCGCATGGCCCCAGAGGAGAGGCAGACGGCTTGGGCTGGCAGATGCAAAGTGAGATCTGGGAACCAAAGGGTTGCTGTGGAGGGCGAGAAGCAGCAGTTGCGGGCGCAGACAGACAGTCCATACTGAAGCTGTGCTGGATGGGGCGTCTGCGGGAGGGCTACATGTACACACACACACACAATGAAAGATGAGCTAAACAACACAAGTAAACACAGAAGGGATGACAAAGGCAGAAATGACCAGTCAACACAAAAACAGCCATCAGCACCTGGACAGAATGATTGGCAGGTCTGACAGGAAGCAGAGGGGGTTTGAAAGTAAGAGTAGGAGGTGCTTTAAGCAACACAGAGCGAATGAAGAGATCAGCCTGGCTCATCAGTCACCATAATATGAGCAACACAGGACAGGGAAGGATTTAAAACCCTGTCAAAAAGCAGACAGACTAACAATATCAATCACAAAAATAAAAACTACAATTCAAATGTTTGAGGATGGTAAGATTTTTTAATGTTCTTAATGTTTATAATCTTATTTAATGTGAAAAAAGTATTTTATGCTCACCAAGGCAGCATTTATTTGATCAAAAATACAGCAAAAACAGTAATACTGTGAAATTTAATTTTAATTTCAAACAGTTTTCTATTATAATGTATTTTAAAAAAAATGTAATTTACTTTTCAGCAGCCATTACTCCAGTCTTCACTGTCACATGATCTTTCAGAAATCATTTGAATATGCTAATTTGTTGTTCAAGAATCATTTCTTATGATCATTGTTAAAAAAGTTGTGCTGCTTAATATTTTGTGGAAATCACAATACATTTTTTCAGGATTCTTTGATGAATACAGAGCTTAAATTATTATTTTTTAAAATAGAAACAATTTTAACTTTATAAATGCCTTTACTGTCACTTTAGATCAATTTTAATTTATCCTTTCTGAATAATTTATAAAATATTTTATATGATTTATTATAAATAGTTTATTTCAGATATTATAAATAATTTATTTAAAAAAAATCTTTGAATGGTAGTGTATTTCGTACTAAATGAGGAACTTGGGAAAAGACTCAGTGAGTCATCAATATGTTTAAATTGTTTTCCTGGAAAAGAAAGACTACACATTTTAAAGGTGGGGTAAGCGATTTCTGGTAGCCAATGTTGATATTTGAAATCACCAAAACAAACACGCCCTATACCCCAAAAGGGTCTCGCCCCTATTTTGATAGCTCCGCCCCACACATACGTACGCAACCCAGGCAACGATTAGTTCTGTGAAACAAAGCAAAACCAATGTTACACCGGACGCGAGTGGCGTGGCGCGACAAAATACTATGGAACTTATTATAATCAGTGATGCTGTCTACACCATATAGATATATATACATACTGTATCTATGGTCTACACTGGATGCGCCGTGGCACGACACAACAAATCCCCGAGAGAAAACTGCTGCTGCGTTCTATTCATAACGCATTGACACAAATTTCAAATGATTTTCAACGTTCACTTTGTCACGTCCAGTGTACTAGACAGACTTTAGCTGTTGCGGCGCAGACACGGTGTTACTCACCTATCGAGAAGAAACAAAGCAACCTCGCCGTCCGATCGCAGGCCTTCCGCTCCTTGAGTTCTCTCCAGCGCTGGAAAGCTGATCCGATATTTACACGGGTCCTACTTCTTGCCTTATTGCCTTAAGCCTTCTTTTGTTCCGCAGACGTTTTCCTCTTTTGTTTTTTATCCGCCATCTCTTTCTGTCGCTCGGCTCGCTAATGTCTGTCGTGTGCACTGAACACTCTCTCCTCCACATCATGAGTAGACACGCCCCTTACTGCTGATTGGCTACAAGTTTGTTTTGCTAGTCGGCCCGAATCGGTTTTCTAAAGCGTTTTTGAAAAATCGCTTACCCCACCTTTAAATGCACATAAATTTGTCAACTTTGAGGAGCACACTAGCACATACAGATCTCAAAGCTGGCACTCATGGACTTCACAAAATTAAAGTCTTGATTTCATAGTTGTATTCATTTTCAGACAGAGCTTAAATCTGTCTTTAGTTTAACAGAAATATGGAAAGATTATGACGCATCTAATAATATTTATTGTCCCCGCAGCTTGTTCAAACAGACGAAGAGAGAAGTGAAGACAGAGAACCACAACACAGGGAAGACGCATTTTTGCATATGGGAAGCATATGTAACACACAATGGGGTCCAAAAGACTGAGATCACACTGAACATCTGTGATTCAAAATCAAATTCAAATATGAAAAAATAAAAATATCTAGGTCACAAATCAAATAAGTAAATATAATAATATAATTATTAATGTATTAATTAATGTAGCTATATTATTTGTATTAAATTAGGCAAACGGAAAATAGAAGAATTTATCTTGGTGGTCTCAGTACTTCAGACCTCACCTTATATAATCATAACAAATGAGAAACTAGAATGCTGTTGTATCCAAGACACAGTGATGTTACGTGACAGAAGACGTGACCTGGCACTGGAGAGCTGAGGTTATAAACAAAGAGAATGTCTGGAAAAGTGCTGGTTAACTATAAACACGCGCAAGAATCAATTAATCACAACAGGAAATACATTTATAGCCTTTTTCTTTTAATACAAAAAATGAATAAAAAAATATTGCAGTCAAAGTTTCAGAGGGAAAATTACTCTAGTACTTCTTTCACTTTCATTTAAAAACACACACACACACACACACACACACACTACTACTCCTAACTAGACGCCATGTGCTAGAGTGACAAATGGTGACACGCTGTTAACCTTGGTAATAAATCTGCTGTTCCAGATGAACTCAGGCTGCCATAAATGTAAAAACATGAAAAACACATGAACAATCCAATGACTTAAAACTGATGTTCTTTTTGCTGTTACACATTGACAAGGACATCAGATTGTTTACTTACTTTGGGTGGTGCTTCGTCTGAGCCTCCTGAGTCCCAGGATACGGGGACCTGTCTCCTCATCTCCATACGGCTGCGCTCCTCCTGCTGAGCCTTCTCCTCCGCAAGGATTGTACTGCACAAACAGCGATGGAAACCTCTGTCAAACAACAACATCTTTCTTCTAGAACTTCAATTCCTAAATATGGATACTTGAGCTTGCAACCACTCTTACAGAGCGGGTAGGTAAGAAACCTCTTCTATACAAATGTGAATGACAAATTTTCCCTCAATTTTTGCTTTAATTCTTATCAATGGGTGTGAGTTCAAGAGAATGACATTTCCAACTTTATGCAATTAGTTGAAAGGTGGAGTCACTCTATCGTCACAGACGAGTCAGTGTAAGATCCCCCAACACACACGGTCGACTACCAGGGGGAAAAAAAGCAACACATACCTGAAACACTATTCAAACTATTTCACAATCAAATACGTCATGACAAGCTCGAAGAAGTCAGCGTGAATAAGAGGATGATGGGCATCTCATCACGTTAACATATTTAAACCATCAACTTCTGTCATGCTAGACTGTGTGAATAAAAAGAGCCATGTTGAAAACTAATATAAGGATTTACAAACTCTTCATGCATAATAAACTGCCTTTGGGTGAATATTCATTTTCTTTTCATTCATTTTCTTTTCATAATTCATATATTTTTTAAAGAAATTAATACTTTTATTCAGCAAGGATGCATTACATTGATCAAATGTGACAGTAAAACATTTACAATGTTACATCCCGAAAAAAATACATCCCCGTTTACACAAAATATTAACAAGCACAACTGTTTTCAACTGTGATAAGTGTTGTTTCTTGATTACCAAATAAACACATTAGAATGATTTCTGAATGATCATGCAACACTGAAGACTGGAGTAATGGCTGCTGAAAATTCAGCTTTGCCATGAAAGGAATTAAATTTAAATTACAGGAATAAAAAATACATTTTAAAATATATTAAAATAGAAAAGAGTTATTTAAATGTTTATCCAACAATATTACTGTTTACTGTATTTCGGACTTCTTTCAAACACATTGTTACCGACCCCAAACCTTTGAATGGTAGAGTGATTTCAGGGTGGGGTCTGCTCATGATAGACCCCAATATAGACACAATAAACTCCAGTAAATTCACAGCAATGGCTTTAGTGATCAAACAAAAGTCTTAACGGATGGAAATGTTAGTAATGACCTTAAAACTCACCAGACAGTCCTTAAAGTGTCGATATGTGAAGTTCGTACATGAAGCCTCGCGCTCAGAGGTGGCTAAAGAAACGCAAGAGGTGCGAAGAAATGCTGGAGCATGTAAGTTTTAGGGGTGAGAGAATGCAAGCTGACTGAGAGAGGGACTATTTCTGGAAACTCTATTATCTCTGAGAGAGACCATGAGTGTGTGGATGGAGAGAGAGAGAGAGAGAGATGCAGGACAAACAGAAGGGACACCTGTTGTGATCAATCCAGACCTGCTGAACTTCCCCACACCCAGACCATCATACACAACCATGACTGCTGCAGGGGTCTCAGGCTCTCAAAAACAAAAACTAGCAATTCAGCTAGTTTTTGTAAACTGTAAGCTGTAAAACTATTACATTCAGCTAGACAAAAACTCTAGCTGAATGTAATATAACAGACCAAAAGGTGTCATAAGTTCAGGCTTAAAAGCTCTTGAGGATTACCAATGTTTCTAAACAAAAGTTTAGAAATGAGACTGAAATCTGTTCTCTCAAATATTAATAAAATGCTTCTTAATAAAAATGGTTAAAAAGTTCAAATAAAAAATGTCAAAACAACAACAACAACAATTTAACAAGTTTAACAATTAACAATCTGAGAGTTGTCTGACCCTGCATAGACAGCAACGCAACTGAAATGTTCCCAAGTCCAGAAACGTAGCAAAGAGATCTGTAAAATAATCCATGTGACATCAGGGGTTCAACCCTAATTTTACGAAGCTACGAGAATACTTTTTGTGCACTTTTTGTGGACTTGGGAACATTTCAGTTGCGTTGCTGTCTATGCAGGGTCAGACAGCTCTCAGATTCCATCAAAAATATCTTAATTTGTGTTCCGAAGATGAACGAAGGTCTTACGGGTTTGGAACGACATGAAGGTGAGTAATTAATGACAGCATTTTCATTTTTGGGTGAACTATCCCTTTAAGGATTAATAATATTATAACGCTACTGGGCAAGTCAGTTAAAAAAGAGACTACTTTTACTGTGTGGCTGTGACACAACAATCACAGCTATTTCAGAACATGTGTTACACTGTCTATATACTCTAGAATGAAGTACCAAACATCTGAACATACACAGAAATTCATACACACAAAATACTGCTTCAGTCTCAGTGTTTAGACTCAAACTATCGAGTGCAAAGACAAACATGATTCATTCCTCAAGTTCTTTGGACTAGACTTTCTTTTTGCTACCGCTGACAAAGACTTCTGAGGAACAGACAATGGACTTTACAGTTTAAGCATCCTGTGTGTCAAACCCATGTGACTTCATTACATTTCATAATCCTCACTTCATCTCAGTGTTCACTGTAATAACCTTAAGAGACACTTTTGAAGAAGTTAGATAAACTTTGTTATATTACAACAGCTGTTAAGCCATCACAAATGTGAAGCGCTTTTAAAACAAGACCCATCAACACTGACCTTGAAATTACATCATAAAGACCATAAATCCACTAATTACAGACCTTAAGCATACAGCAGCTAATTTCCTAATCAAACACAACAGGACACTGACTAAACCTCTGCTCTGATAGCTTCAGCACTAGTTATGGCAGTAATTTGGCTTTATAAATGCAGTTAACAGTGTAAATATTTACATGGTTTCCTAGAAACAGACGTTCTACACTTGAAATGTACTGCAGATTTAATGAGGGTAGAGAAAGGGATCTGTATTTTCCAATACGCATTTAAAAAAAAATTCACTCCATCCAAGATACCTAAAAAGGAATTAATTTTATATTTGAGATGCAACATGACATATCTGCCTCAATCTGGATATCTGGGACATCTGTGTATAACTTGAGATCTTGGAAACATCTAGTGCTGTCAAATCTGTTTTTGCAAATAGAAAACTTGGATGTTTTTTTTGAAGGCAGACAAGATTCCTCAGATTATTAGGGATTCAGGTGTTTGATGGCCTGTCAGAGTACAGCTCGTTTTTTCCCATTTCCATCAGCATTTACGGGAACTGACTGCATGTGCGGACACAGACAGGCATCTGAGATCGGCTTGATTTGAGAAAGGGGAAAACATTTAACCAGATTTAAAAAAAAACACTGGGTGGATTTTTATCATTATAGGGTGGTTGTGTACACACACTGCCAACACACATTTCAGTTCAAACAACTTGTAAATGTGAATGTAGCATCCTATGACCCTTTAAGGCCTTTTATTAGGAAAACTTTATTTAAGACATTTTAAGAACCCATGGCCACCCTGTTAATGTGGGGACACATTTCAAGTGAGAGCAACGTTACATTTTAAGATACATTAAAGGGTTTCCATCCAAAGTTGCGAATTTAACTTGCGCGCAAAATTGGAATATCGCATAAAACATTTGCGAACAAGCACTGTTTCCATCCAACGAGTCAGAGAGAACAAAATAGTCACTTCTTGATAAACTGGCACTAAATATCACTAAGAAAAGTAAGAGAAGCCACTGAATATAATAATTCTCAAATATAATAAATTACTTGCGCTTTGAGTGAGCAGACAAAACAATAAATGCAGTCTTGCTTTCGGAGGTGAATGTCAGCTGTTTGGGAACGCAGTCGTGGTAGACCGTTCTGGGAGGCAGTTATACAGAAACACTTTGATGACAGACTTTGCTCGGGAACTTCAGAATGACCATGACAACATTTCAGATGCTGTGCAACAAAATCGACCCGCTGGTTAGTCACATGACTTTTTTGAACGCTCATGCGGGATTTATGCGCAACTTCCTAATCTGAAGAAAGGAACGCAACTGAAAAGCAAAAGAGGAGAACATTTTCATAAATATGATTGGTAACTACAGAAACAGTATTTCAAGAGCTTTATGCAAATTCACAGAAAACGAAATTAACTTGAAATTAACACTGAGCACTAGATGGTGCTGTTGAATTGGTCACAGGAAACTAGTCTATATATATCAGCACTAGGCGATACTTCAAAATGCGCATTAAAACAGGGTGATGGAAACATATTGTTACAGTTTTCATCTCTGGCAAGCCATTCTTTGTAATCTTCTTTGGTGAGCCAAATATCTTGAAACTTGCATTTTCCAGGCATCACATTTCAGCGGTTTCAGCCTATTTTTGCAATGTTTGCAGTGTTTAATAAACAGCTGTTTTTCTAAATTCTGCTGAGGTGAAATTCAGTGCAGTCCTGTATCGTGATATGTATCGTATCGTGGCCTCTGTATCGTGATACGTATCGTATTGTGACTTTGCTGGTGATACACAGCCCTATTTAACAGTGTGTGTGTGTGTGTGTGAAACGTTGAGGTACCATTGTAGTAGATTCGTGCGCGCGTGAACCTCATTGGCAACGTACAACACAAAGTTCCTCACGTGGGAAATACTTAACATAACACGTAAATGCGCGTAAGTAATGTAAATCAAGCAAGCTAATATGCATAGGCCACGAAGTGTTGGCGAAATAACACATTAGCGGACCGGAGGGAATAATATGATTTTTTTTCCAGAAAGCTTCTTGCACAAAATAAATTCAAGCACTTTTAAAGACCTGTATCTATGTATGCTTATTTTCAAAAACTTTCCAGGGCCTTGAAATTTTTTTTTCAGATTCACAAACTTTCAAGGATTTCAAGGACCCGTGGGAACCCCGTAGTAACGAGGTTCAATGGCTTACCTCCACTCATAGTCACTGGCAAATTAGTTAAAATCACCACTGCTTAAGTGTAGTGTAAATGTTGATCCATTTTAATGCATAATGGACAGTCTAGCCTCCTGTCAATCAACCACTGCACTGAAAAGAGGGTTTAAACTTTGACTAAACAGGGCTAATAAAAATAATGGGTGAATTGTACGTTTTTACATACATACTTTATACATACTCAAAAATTCATGGAACATCTTGGATATGCCTGCCACATATGCTGCAACAGATAATTAAATGTCAGCTAAAATAACATACGTAGATCATGTAAAGTTGGCACAACCTTACTTGTTAATACAGTTGCTTGACTAAAATAACAGAACATCTGAATTGCTTGACACTTGAAATACATACATGCATTCATATATATATATATATATATATATATACACAGGTGTATCTCAAAAAATTAGAATATCGTGAAAAAGTTCTTTTTTTGTAACTTATTTCAAAAAATGAAACTTTCATATATTCTAGATTCATTACATGTACAGTAAAACATTTCAAAAGGTTTTTTTAAAAAATTTTTTTAATTTTGACGATTAGAGCTTACAGCTCATGAAAGTCAAAAATCCAGTACCTCAAAATATTAGAATATTTACTAAGATCAATCAAAAAAGGGATTTGCAAAACAGAAAAGTTCAAGTTCTTTAAAGTATGTTCATTTATGCACTCAATACTTGGTCGGGGCTCCTTTAGCACAAATGACAGCATCAGTGAGGTGTGGCATGGAAGCGATCAGCCTTAACGCTTTTCCACGGGGGCTGGTGCCAGTGCTCGGCCAAAAGCAGCACTCGTTCAGAACCGGCTCGCGTTTCCACTGGCAGGGAACAGAACCCTCTATGTCACAACATGTGACCGCAATCGCTTGTTATCTCTTGCGGAAGGAGAGCTCTTCTGTCGGCCATTTCTGAACTGACATATTTAATTGTTGTGTTAATGTTGTTAATTTACCTGAACTCCGACAGCTTTTAAAATGCTTGTTCGTGATGCATCAGCGCCGCGTAAATCAATTGGTGTATGTACATCAAAGTACCGCGAGAGCAAAAGCATAAAGAGTCATCTGCTGTCTAATTGCTCTCATGGTACTTTGATTGCATATGCAGATCACTGTACATAGCGCCGATGCATCTCGATCAAGCCTAATGGCTCCTTTCAAACTGTAGTGAAAGCTCCGCCTACTGACGTCATAGAAAAGTTTGACCAGCAAGGTTTTGGGGCTGGTTCGGAACCAGGATCTGGGCACCGGCCCAGGAGTTTTTTTGAGTGGAAAAGCGTGGCCCAGTTCCCAATTGGGTTCCAGCTCTGGCACCAGCCCCAGTGGAAAAGTGGTACCTGTGGCACTGCTGAGGCACTACTGAGCCTTCAGCTCGTCTGTATTGTTGGATCGACTGTTTCTCATATTTCTCTTGAAAATATCCCATAGATTCCATATGCACTGTGGGCAGGTGCTAAGTCCTGCTGGAAAAGGAAATCAGCATCTCCATAAAGCTTGTTAGCAGATGAAAGCATAAAGTGCTCCAAAATCTCCTGGTAGACGGCTGCATTGACTTTGGACTTGATAAAACACAATGGACCAACACCAGCAGATGTCACGGCAACCCAAATCATCACTGATTTCAGAAACTTCACACTGGACTTCAAGCAGCTTGGATTCTGTGCCTCTCTAGTCTTCCTCCATACTCCAGACCTTGATTTCCAAATGAAATGCAAAATTTACTTTTACCTGAAAAGAGGACTTTGGACCATTGATGCTTCTGACATTGTTTCTGTTTCAGAAGTGGCTTGGTAGCCCTTTTCCTGAAGAAGTCTGAGCGTGGTGACTCTTGATGCACTGACTCCAGCTTCAGTCCACTCCTCGTCAAGCTCTCCCAAGTGTTTGAATCAGCTTTGCTTGCCAGTATTCTCAAGCTTGCGGTCATCCCTGTTGCTTGTGCACCTTTTCCTACCCAATTTCTTCCTTCCAGTCAACTTTGCATTTAATATGCTTTGATACAGCACTCTGTGAACAGACACCCCTTTCAGTAATGATCTTCTGTGACTTGTGTGTGTGTGTGTGTGTGTGTGTATATATATATATATATATATATATATATATTTGGAGATTTACGACAAGCTGGAGCATCTTAACTTTCAGATGTTATTTACAATGATTTTTATAAGATTTGAATTTGTTACGTTTTCTTATGTTTTTTGTCTTATGATTTATTTTTTACCCCATGTGTCAACAGCAAGTGTTTTAGATATTAAAACCAGGTGTGAGCAGGGTCTTAGGTCAGTGGTTTCTCAACTAGGAGTCCAGGGCCCACTAGGGGGCCTCATCAAACTTAATTTTAAGCCCTTAAAGTCTTAAAACTATTTACATTTAGTAATATTAACATTTTTAATTAAAATGCTAAAAAAAAACACTAAAATGAAAATGTACAACTGACATATTTTGAGTTTAGCTTAGATAGGAGGGTTTTTGAATAGGGGCTTCGGAGTAAAAAAAAAAAAGGTTGAGAACAACTGGTTTATGTTGATGCAGGACCCCTGCTAAAACAAACTCAGACCTTTCTTTAGCTATTTACCAGGTAACTGTTTTCCATCTGAAAGCCCTATGCACAGAGAGTGTCTCAGTAAGGTTTGAATCATCAGAGACGTGCTATGAAATACAGCCACCCCTAGCAATCATCTTTACTACACCTTTATGGCCGGTTTATGAGACAAGCAGTCATGATGGATTCCTCCAGCCTTAACCCGGCTGCTATCTTTGTGAATAATATGAGTTTAATAGGTTTAATATCAGGTCACGTTCCTTTGGAGATTGAAGATGTGTACCAACCGCTCTCCCAATCCCAAATCAAATTGTTACACATAAACCAGATTGAAAAACCCACCTCTCCCAGCGTGCAAAGCTCCATGATGATCCACACTGGGTTTTCTGTAATGACGCCAATCAGCTTTACAATATGTGGATGATCGAACTGTCGCATGGTCACTGTGGGAACATATAGAGACAAAATTAATCCAACATCATATGTTATGACATTTTAGCAGCATACATAACTGCATTTATTATGAAAAACATACACTACTCTTCAAACGTTTAGGGTTAGTGAGATTTTAATTTTGCAACATGTTAAATTGATCAAAAGTGACAGCAGAGACAAATGATTGTTATTACAAATTATTTCTACTTCAAATAAATGCTGCTCTTTTGAATTTTCTATTAATCAAAGAATTTGGGGGAAAAAATTCAACCTTTTTCAAAAGGTTGGCGCTTTTAGTAATTTTAGTGATTTCCAAAATTGTGGGATGTGCATCATGTGTACCTAAATCAGACAAAATAACTGAATTATACAGTTAAATCAAATGATCTGTGAAGGATCTAAAAGCTGTGGTAAAAACATTATGTTCTGTTTATTAGTGCCTCACTTTTTCTTCACTATCACTCTCACACATATACCAGCACCTGTTCGGGTGTACAAAAGCTAACAGCTGTGCTCTTACTAACTCCACATTCTGAAAATGTTCGGAGTTTCGGCACCAACTATCCAAAACACATTCCTCTCAATTACAGTGATGGAATGCTGACGGACACAGCCATGGGAACGACACAGATAATGCAGTGCTGTTACCGGCTGCTGGGTATCAGTGATTTGACACTCACAGGCCTCCTGGAGAAACTTCTCTCGAACACTGTCCGAGGTGCAATTCTTACACGTCTTTATCGCCACAGAAAGAGCTGGGTTCTCCTGACAGCACAAAAACAAGAAGTAGTACTTTAATAACTGTTTCAGATTAATACAACATTAGTCTTTTCTTGCAAAGTAAAAGTCATCATCTTCATCATCACATTGAGTAATTCATACTTTAATATAGACTAAAGAAAGATATTTTTTGTTTGAAGAAATTAATACTTTTATTCAGTAAGGATGCATTAAATCAGAAGTGACAGTAAAAATGTTACATTGTTACAAAAACAAATCAATTTAAAATTGGCTGAAATTTTGAAATTTGCTGTTCTTTTAAATACTGAAGAGTAATGGCTTCCATTACAGAAATAAATTACATTTGAAAATATATTAATATAGAAAACGGCATAGAAAACTGCCTTCGTGAGCATAACCGACTTCTTTCGAGCAGTAGTATAAGTAAGTTATATACAAGTTAAATAAATAAATAAAATGCAATAAAAGTCATTTATACCAGACATATGTAAATCCCTTGATGGACGTCTCCAAACTGGCCCTCACCTATACAGCGTCCCAGCTCAATTCTGTCTCTTTGTATCTCATAGTCCCTGGCTGAAAGACAAATTATACCCAGTCAACACTTAAAAATACCACTTCATATATGATTATCAAAGGCCACTTTCCACCATGTACTCAGAAAATGAAAAGACACCATGCATTTCTTCAGTCCATCTGAATCAGTTCATATACAGAATGTTTTTCAATATGGAATCCATCCCATACATGCCATACCAACCCAATAATCAATCAAAAATGCATACAAGACTCAGTAAAGAAAATTTACTAATGGTTCTTCATTAAAGGGACAGTTCACCAAAAAAAGAAAATTCTTTCATTATTTAGTCACACTCAAGTTGTGGGAAAACCAAACAGTTTCTGGTCCCCAATGACATCCATAGTATTTTCTTCCATACTATGAGTATGTCAATGGGGACCAGCAACTGTTGGTTACTGTTGGTCTTCAAGCTATCTTCTTTTCTGTTCAACAGGAGGAGGAAATGTATACAGTTTTGGAACAACTTGAGTTTGAGTTAATAATGACAGAATTGTGATTTTTGTGTGAACGTTCCCTTTAAGAAGAACAAATCAAGAATCACTTAACAAGCCCTTTGAACATCCATATGTAAAAGTGTCAAAGCCAGTTCGGAGCATCTTCAGTGGAACTCGAAGGGGTCAGTTAAAATTCTGCATGTGTGCATCAATCCAAAAAAACAATTATTTCTGTTTACAACATTAGTAAATAAAGAAATATATAAAGATTCAACCACAAGAAACACAAACAGGCAAAGCAAAAGCAACACACAGGCCCCACCGTCACACATGAAGTCTCAAGCATATGGAAGAAAGGGAATGAAAACAGCAGGAGAAACAGCTTTACCTTCATCTAGTCCATAATATTCTGTTGTGCCAATAACGAGAGAAAACAAAGTGGCAAATATAACACTGAATAACATTAAGGTCATCATTAACTGATAATTATTTCCTTTTATAAAAAGACATTTTAATTAATCAAAGCCATGTTTACAAAAACCAAACAGTAAGTCTTGTTATTAAGGCCCAGTGATTTTAACACTAATGTGTTCATTTCACAGTTGTGGGCAACTTATTTAATAATAAACTGCATAATTTTCTTAAAAACAATACCGCCTGTGGAGCAAATAGGCAAATAAAAAATAATATCCTGTGTAGCAGTAAAATCTGTATTATGGGATAAAAACCTTTCTTAATTTGCTTAAAAAAATGTATGTATTTAAAAAGTTTAAGGGCAAATGAAATACAAATTATTTAAAATACAAATCTAACTTTTAATAATAAAACTTAATGTTATTTCAATAACATGAAATGCCACAAGAAGAATGTTATATTAATATATGAAAAATATATTATTTCAGGTAGACAAAAAATGTAAAAAATTAATATATATATATATA